CTTTTCCAGTATTGGTCACTATCCAGCCTTGTTGCGGTGGCTGTTGTGTTTTTACACTGCCATTCGGAATATACGTTAGTTGGTTCAGTGGAAAACAGTTAATTAATTCATCTGGCTTTGATCTCTTTGACGTATCTCTTCAGTTGGGCAGCCAAGGCTTAAGCCCAAAATATACACGATTTTGTGTCCGATCCAACAGAAAATCGTGTTGGATGAGGTTTTGGCATTTAACTCTCTTTGAAAGTCAATGAGGATGATCACACCCGACACAATTTCACTCAAGGGCACATTTATAAAACTATTAATACTTATAGCAAAACCACTCACAGCATTTGCAATGGAGGGAGCAAGAAGAGTAATAATTAGAGGAGGTAGAGGAAGAGGACATGGAGCTGAAGAAGTAGGAGAAAGAGGAAGAGGAGGTAAGCTACGTCATCATGTGTTACAATATTAGTTACCATAGGGCTGCTTTGGTCCAAAACTGGTTTACAGATCACCTACTCTACATTGCACTCAACCTCAAACTCTTCATTCTTGAATTCAATAGTCGCTACAAGCATGCTTTATGTGACGAATCGCCTTAAAGTCAATAAGTCGATGCAATCAACTAGCTTTCCTTAGATAGAAAACTTTGAACCAATCTGACTGTAGGATCTGGTTAAATTGTCTCTGTAAATACCTTGAGATGACATGTATTGTGAATTGGCACTCTATAAATAAACTGAATTGAATTGAAGAGTTCTTCTCTGCCTGGCGCTGGAAGGTGTATGATGGCCATCCCCATCAATGCATAGCCCTTTTAACACAACGAAGCAGAACATGTGGGGATATTGACTAGGCATCATGTTTGGCCTGAATACAGCATTCCAGGAGATATTTTCCCTGGTGCCTTGGATAATAGGACATTGCATGTGGATAAAATCTTGTCGCCTGACCCAGAGAGAAGACCCAATGTTTTTTTTTTTTTTCTCAGTAATTTTGTGTTTTGACGTGGAAAAAAAAAAAAAATATATTGTTTGTTTTGATGTGAGTAAATAAACATCAATACTTGAAGTTTGGATCCCAGATGTGTTTTTATTTATGATATCAGTGTGTAGTTGGCACATTGAGTGCTTACTAATATGATGGCTGGTGTTACCTGTTTGATACAAAAAAAAAATTTTTTATGAAGATTTGAAGAGTTAAGCAAGATTTATTAGCGTTTGCAAGAGAACTACAATTTTGCTGATTTGGTGAAAGGTTTTCTTATTTGTGTATAGAGTTTTGCAAAAATAGCCAATAGATACAAAAATTGTGCTTAATCCAACAGAAATTTTTTTTATTCTTTTTGAAGCTGAAGAGATGTTTTTTCATTGTAGCACTGCGTTGCCATCTGCTGGAAGTAGTTACACATCCATCAACTTACTAGCTTTTGAAACTTTACTTCCCACTGTAGTCAACATCAACTATTGTGTTACAAGCACCAGTCATGTCTGACATAAACTTAATTAAAAAGTTGAAGTAAAGTCCCTGATGATAGGTTTAAGATTTGCGATTTTTATAAAAGCAGACAGTGTGATTAAATAGACTCAGATAGATTTACAGTATGATATTCTGAAAAATAGCCTGCTGCAGATTGGTAATTTAGTTACAGACAGTTTTAAGATCATTGCTTTTCCAGCTGAGACAGTTTATTGTCAAATAATGAATCATAGTCGACTAACACTATCCTGTAACTTAAGCCAAATATTGTCAGACTATACTTATGAGCACAGATCTTACATTACCTAAAGTCTTTAAACTGTTAAATTATCAGTCAGCCCAAAGAAAGAAAATTTAAATATATAATTGATTCTAATACTATTATAATAGTTATGCCAGTGATGTCTGTTTATACATATCTGTATGCTGTTGTATATTCTTAATCAAACACAATAGAAAAGGAATCTCAGATCTGCAAAAGCTATTTAAGATTAAAATATTTAGAAATACTTTGGTGGAATTTGATAAAACTTTAAACATAAATGGACCACAACCACAGTTCTTCATTTCTTCAAGTAACCTTAAATTTTGAGATACTCAGAAATGTATATATATTCATGCGTATTTCCCAGTAAAAAAAAAAAAAAAAAGCTTATGCAGAGCACTGTATAAACTATTTATCCAATCGAATTACAAAAATACTGAAAATAGCTGAAGAAGCCATTTTCTTCCTGTTAAAACTTAAATTCATAGAATGAGACTTTTTTCATCAATAAAAGCTTTCAGGCAGACCAAACCACACAAAGCAGCATCAGGAGAACCTATCCATAGTTCCTGGTCTCATACTCCTTTATGGGTTTCATTCAGGATTAATGGCCGTTTGGTGTGTCTGCATAAAGAGATAAGCTCTGCAGCCAACACTGAGGCAGAAACCCTCCTGTATGCTGCCACCATATCTTTTAGACTGAGGTGTTCTCTCAAGTCTGGACCTTCTTGTCATACTGTAATACTCTGTGTGCTTTGACAAACTACTAAAACAGTTTTTTCACACACCCACATTTTCTCTTTAAATTCTTTCAGTATGAAACAGTTTCTTAGATCAGCTTTTAGAGCTCTGTTTCACTTTAAAACTCTGTGAAGTGTGTTTGTAATAAATAGGCTATTTTATTAAAAAGATAATTTATGTATTTTTTTTTTTAAATAAGGTGGTGACCAGATTTAATGAAAGTGTGCCTTCTTGTGGCCATAAGAAAAGATACAGTCTGAGCTCAGTGTTCAGCTGAATAAAGTATTCAAGCAAAGTTTGGAGCACATCAAGTCAGCTCTCAGAGTACAGCATAGTTAAACATAAATTGTCCACCATTGTCTGTTGTGGCTTATCTTTGCAGGGTTTCAGGGGGCAATCACATGTATCTAGCTGTTGATTGGACCATAAAACAACTATTGGATATTGTGGTAGCAGGCAGATTGAGGTTGATGTCTTCCCCCCCCAAATTTTTCTAAGAACCGAAATTGTTGGATGTAGGGATGCTGGATGCTGAGCCTAAAAACAAAAAAAAACCATTTCCATTTATTTAGCTTTAAAGAAAGGTGCATAATACATACAGAACAAATTTTTGATGACATCATACTAAGTGACCTTTGTTTAAGGATCAAAGAGATTCTCTTCTTATGGTGTTTTGAGACTGGAGGCGGTGGATGCAGGGATTTCCGTGAGCCCGGCAGGTAATTTACCGCTCTGCATTTCTGATGCACACTGTTTACACCCTGGACTGCATCATTAAATAGGAGGAGTTTCAACTGTGTGCGGCTGACGCCCTTTGTTGTAAATCAACTTTAGCAAA